GAAATATTGCGTTACTACGGTCTAATCAAATTTGTTCATTGACCATTCATATATTTTTTCACAATAGGAACATTAACAGACTCTCCAAGTCTGAATTTTTTTTGAAATACACTTATATTTGTGTAATGACCTGTCAAACATCGCCACAATCAAATATATCTTGGATTGATTCGAAATTTTGCTGAATTCCCTCCCAAAAGCCGCGTATAGTAGAGACATATTGTTTGTATCATTATGTTTGCCTCCTTCGAGTTAAATGCAGATTTGAATTGTGGGAATAACGACAATAAAATGGCCCAAATTTCGGAAAATTTTCCTAATTTTCGCAATCCGCATCTTCATTGTTTGTATTGTAGAAGTTATTTCAAAGACAGGCGTTGCTTTTGGCATGTTTTTTTGTTTCACATATTATTTAAATCATAAGTAACAAGATCACGGCATATATCAAATTTGGACGATGCACATATCGCAAAAATACCTGAATGATCTATGTAGAACCTCGAATGTCATGTGACAAGCAATATTTCCACACTCAAATCAAATAAAGGAACCATCATGACGTACAAATTACCCCGAAATAGTAGTAAAAATAAGGAAATTACGCATAACTTGAAAACGCCGCAACCGATTTTGATTTTTTCTTTAGCGATGAAAAGGCGAATGATGTCGAAATAAATCTGTGATGAAAAATAAAGGGTGTTCCATTTGAAAAATTCTTATGATCGTCGTCAGAATCTTACAATTTTCAGAATGTAAATTTTAGCACCCTGTGAAGGATTATCTCGCAATATTACTGGATTGGTATACGTGAGACCTTGCAGTAGTAGTATGCCAAAAATATTTTCGAAATTTCAATAAATAAATATACCATACCCAATTGAAAATGACCCTTCAATAGTAGTAAAAATGGGTTTATCAATTATAACTTGGCAACGCCGCAACCAAATTCAATTTTTTTTACAGTGATGTAGAGCTGAACCTTAGCGGAATAAATTTCGAATGAACAATGCTGGGTGTTCCATTTAAAAAAACTCGTCTTCGAGTTGCCCCGCTTTTATAAAACACCCAGTATTGTCGGAAATATTTTTGAAATGAGCAACTTTAGTAATTGGAAAAGTTTTTTCTCCAAAGTTTTTCTCTTGTGATAATTGATTTCGAGATATCGAAGAATTACGCACTAAATGGACACACGTGTCCCAGAGCTTTTAGGCCAGCAGATATCTGATAGGTTATCGGAGATCGGAGGGTTATCTATAGTGATGCCATCGAGACGAGACGAGAGAGTCCTTCTCTCGTCTCATCTCGTTATAACGAGAAAAATGGACCCCACACTTTCCTTATGGAAAATGGCTTTCGGTTAAATTTCCTAAATGTTTGGAATGATGTAGATTTTGACTCCCTAAGCAAAAGTGTCCATGGGCACAAAGAAATTGGCCGACTAGTTTTCGAGATACAGGGTGTCAAAGATGAAAAGTGAAGCTTTCTGCTCAGAATTTTTAACAACTCCGCGAATTGACTGAACGCCCATTCTTCTTCTTCTTCTTCTTCTCTGCACAGGTGGGCGGGTGCGTAGACCCCTGCACTCAGGCCTCTTCAGTCGGGCCCATTGTGCGCCCACTTGTCCTGTGAATCAGCTGGGCATGCCGATTTCTTTGACGAAATTCAGCAGCTTCCTCAGCTGAGTCACTTTCACATCCTTTGGGTGCAGTACAATGCTCCCAAAGGCAGCTTTCCTCTGATGCACCAGCGTGGGGCATTCAGTGAGTATGTGTGATGATGTTTCATCATCCTCCAAGCACCATCTGCAGATGGGATCATCTTTGATCCCTATGAGTTCTAGGTGGCTGTTGAGGTGGTTGTGCCCAGTTAAGAGCCCAACTACCATCTTGAGATCCCTTCTATTAAGTGACAGGATCTCTCTCGTGAGCCTTTTTGAAGGTTCCTTTATATGGAGCTTTGATTGTCTCATTCCTGGTGTGTCCCGCCATGTTTCAAGGAACTGCCTCTGTAGCATTTCCTTCATGAAGGACATAGCCGTACTATTGGGTATTCCCAGTATCGGTTCTGGTCCAATGGGTGTCGTTCCTGAACCGATCTTGGCTAGTCTGTCTGCCTCCTCGTTCCCCGGGATACCAGAGTGTTATAGAACCCACATGAGGCTGACTTTCCTAGTTTTTGCCATATTTTCTAAGGCACTTACTGAACGCCCATTTATTCATGGAATAACAAGCCTGAATGATGGTACAATTTTATCTGGATCTCGTATCCGAGCTCGTATCCATTATAATTGTACGTTTTGGGCTCTACAACAGGGTGAACAAAGAAAAATATAATTCGATTAATCTCAAACCAAACCCAGGTAAGTTCTTTCATGAGAATTGAAGATTCAATTGAGCCTGGACGAACTTCCTCAATCTCGATCGAAGTTTACTGACATTTTTTTTATATACAGGGTGGTTCGAAAATAGGGGTACGTCAATCCCTAGTTTTTTTAATCGAAAAGGGGAGAGCATGTCTTATATATGTATATCAGACATTCTTACTTACTTATTTCATATATATAGGGTGAGTGAAAAGATACAGTCCAAGTTAATTGAAAAAATTCGGGTTTTTTCAATGAATACCCTGTATTTCGAAAAAGAATCGGTTAATTTTCTTGAATTTTTGATATGATGTACGTGTCCGAGATATTGTCATCAATATTAGCATAGGTCTCCGGACTCGTTTGTCGGCTATATACTTTTGGATGTATATACGGATTTTATTGGTACTTACCCGATATACTCCATTGGAGTTCGAAATGGGCTATTTTCCAACAATTCATGTTGAGAAATATTTCATTGCGGAAGCCAGCAGGCCCGCCCATAAGGTGTTTGGTCTCTAGGTTTCAGACTCTTCTAGGAAATGAGCCAAAAATACTTCTGCTCCTCAAGGAAATAACCTGTCATTCAAAACAAAAAACATTCAAATCGGCCAAGTAGTTTTGACAAAAATGTTTCCTAAACTTTTGGCTAATTTTTGATGGTGCGTTAATTTCCTGGAGAAGTGTATATAAATATCCTTTATGCACGACCGGGCGTAAACTAGCACTTTACCGCACGGGTTTGCGGGCGTAAAGTTTCACTTTACCGCCCGCGGACTACTTCACCGCCCGGCGGGCGATAAAGTCATTGAGCTGGTGGTGAAGCTAATGTCACTGTCATATCGATAGAAATCTAGATTGACATTAAGAAAGCATGAAAATAGTACTTACTTTCATCATAAGGTACGAATCGTCTGGTGCTTCACTCATCAAGAATAACTCTCGCTATTTCTTCTCTGCTTAGAATCTTCGATTTCGTTGGTTTATAACCGTCAGATTTTCTTTTCAAAAAAGCTATCAATCTTGCATATTTACTAATATCTCTATTATCATGTACATTTAAAGTAGCTTTCAACATGGAATAATATGACCATATGGAAGAAGGCTTACGAGATTTTGATTTTTCCAGAAAATAGGCAAGAAGCACACTTTCAGTGTAATTTTTTTTTATTTACTTGGCAATAAACTCGATTTTGCTTCCCCAGCTGCCTCACTAATTTCTGGTGGAGTACAATTCACACTTTCTTCATCACTAGAATTCATTTTGAAATCACTAATGAATTAGTTGCCATGGTAACGTTGATTGCATACTTCTTGATTAATTGTATTTGCGATATGGATACAATACAGTCTCACTGCAACCGTGATGTATTTTCATTGTGCTTGAGGGGTGAAGAGATACCTACATGAGATATCAAATATATACAGGTCGTGCATAAAATGTTCCAAATTTCCAAATTCGTATTTAACTATTTCCAATTTTCGATTTCATGATAATGTCTTTTTTAGAAACCAAGAGTTGATGAACATAACAATGTTGCCAAAATGTGTGATAACTCCGCTTCGCAAATTCAAAATTCGCTTGTCAAACTTTTGATCCTAATAAAACAATGTTAGTGTTAGTGACCAAATTCCTCCGAATCTGCTCGACCGATTCGTATGAAAATTTTGGTGCGTATTTGGTTGGTATGAGAATCGATCGTAATCCATTTTTTCAATCGAAAATTCAGGATGGCGGATCCAATATGGCGGCCAAGTTATTTAATTATGATCAGATTCCATTCGAAATTTGTATATGGAGGTTTTTGGGGCCGGAGATTATGATTCTTTCATCAAAATCAGGAAATTGAAGATGGAGGATCCAATATAGCGAACGAGTTTTTTGATTATGATCAGATTCCAATCAGAACTTGTAACTGGGGGTTTTTGGGGTCGTCGATCATGATTCTTTCGTCAAAATTCTGAAATTCCAGATGGCGGATCCAATATGGCGGACGACTTTTGTAATTATGGTCATATTCTCTCAAAATTGGTAACTGAGGGTTTTGTGAATCGGAGATAATGATTTTATTCTTCAAAATCGGGAAATTCAAGATGGCGTATCCAATATCGCAAAAAAGCTCTGTATTAAATAGTGGTTTGAAAGACTATAATGAAACACGCTATTATGGATAACCAAACTCAAGGCCAAACTGAATAGAATTAGAAAATTGATAGTATATAGTTTAAAAAACGACGTACATTGTTCAACTAGAAAGAAGTAGACAATAAAAATAGCATAGGTTGAAATAATAATGAAACATGATTTTATGGATAGCCACACTAAAAAGAAGTAGAAAACAAGATAATAAAAATGTGTTGATGAATATTCAACTATAAAAACAATATTTTCTAGAAATAAATGATGTATATAACACAGCAACCTTTGCCGGGTATCAGCTATTGTAATGAATAGTAGTTAAAAAAAAAACTGATGAAACACGTTTTCATAGATAGCCAAACTGAAAAGACGTATAGAATGAATAGAATAAATTGTAAAACTGAAGATTCCCGCTATTATGGATAGCCAAACTGAAAAGAAGTAGAAATAAAACGATAGAATTTTTTGATGAATATTTATCATAGAAAAATATTTTTTCTTGAAATAATGTGTATGGCAAAACAACATTGCCGGGTCAGCTAGTTATTTATAAAATTTTTGATCCAGAATCCCCATTATGACCACACTTTATCTTCTATCCATTGAATATATGGAAATACCCTCGTATGACCTTCAGGTACATCTTTGACCAGTCCACAAGCTTTTCCAAAAGAAATAATTCCTACGATGCTATACATGCACTTTATATCTTCAGTGTCTTCTCGATAAATCTGAAAAGGACCTCCAGAATCTCCCTGAAATAAATGATATAGATATTAGTAGAAATTCTTGGAAATATTAGTGGGATGCAGTCTGGACCAATGAATTAATTAAATTTCTTCGTTAGCTTTCGTCGAGCTTTCGAAAATTTTTATTTTCTTTATCAAGACTAACTGAAAGCATCGAATGGAACAATAATATTAAAATATAAAAGTACATCAATTGAAATTGGTATACTTACAAACATGAAATTGTATATAAAATTAGCACAAAAAGGAAACATAGGTGTATAAATAAAATGAAATGATTTGACAAAAAAATGTCATGTCATAAAAATTTTCGAAAGCTCGACAAATAACGAAGAAATTTAATAAATTCATTGGTCCAGACTGCATCCCACTAATATTTCCAAGAATATTATTATAGAACGGTCACGAAAGCTTCCCCTTATTAGTAGATACGTATATACAGTATGTGTCAACCCGCAACACCCTCCTAAATTTGGAATATTCAAATTTTCAACACCTACTTTTGCTTGTTGAAGGGGTCAAAATTTCGAAAACGACTATAAGGCAATTTTTTTTTCGAAATAGTGACTAGCCTATTCGATTCATGTATAGCTGAAATACCCCTATACGGAATTTGAACGCAAAATCTCATATAGGGCGAATTTTGATATTTTTGATTTTTCGATTCACCCTGTATCAAAATTTAACGAGTTGATATAATCAGTGAAGTAGTTATTCAATAGAGGAACACATCGAATACATAGGTACGAAGTTTCATCGCTGTAACTTCTACAGGAAGATATCTCTAGGTCAACCAATAATTAATAAAATTGAATTGAATTTTTTTTTTCATTATGATCCATAACTTTTTTCTAGGAAATATGGATAATGGTGACTAATCCGGGAAAATATTCTCTATACATAGAAATTTTCATTGTCATCTTAAATTTTCATTCCATTTCGCCAAAATCGGTATATTATTATATCACATCAAACATCAGTATATCTCTTAGCCTAGAAGTCTTTAGAGAGTATTTGTCTGTAATTCTATATGTGTTTTATATTCGACAGCTCCTTATCAAACAAGACGTTTCTCAAAGTGACTGTGTGGTGTAGTGTGTGAAATACGGTTTACTCGAGTTTTCAGAATGGCGAATCTCAACTTTAGTTTTATTGATTTTTGGTTGATCTAGAGAGATCTTTCTGTAGAAGTTACAGCGATGAAACTTTGTACCCATGTATTCGATGTATTCCTCTATTGAATAACTACTTCACTGACTATCAACTCGTTAGATTTTGATACAGTTCGAATCGAATATTCAAAAATATCAAAATTCGCGATGAAACTTCGAATATATGTATTCGATGTGTTCCTCTATTGAATAATTACTTCACCGGTTATATCAACTCCTTAGATTTTGATACAGAGTGACTCAAAAAATCAAAAATATCAAAATTTTCCATTGAATAACTAACACCCTATATGAGATTTTGCGTTCAAATTTCGTATGGAGGTATTTCAGCTATGCTTGAATCGGATAGGAAATTCACTGTTTCGAAGAAAAATTGCCAAATAGTCGTTTCTGAAATTTTGACCCCTTCAACAAACAAAAGAAGGCCTCGGAAATCTGAATATTTGAAATTTGTCCACATTCTCAAATAGAGCTCGTTGAGTAGCATATTATGGAATTTTTGTTCTTGAAAATCGGTCGATGGGTTCCAAATTAGGTGTTGCAGGATGAAATCGCACACACTGTATGTAGGGTGCCTGGAAAGCTGTAGGAAACCTCTCGGATTTAGATGGAATCTGAGAAGATGACCATCAGGAGCCATAATAAAGACAAAACCACTGGATTCGAAAAATCAGGGGTATACAAACTTAGCTGTGAATCTTGTACTAAGGTATACAGATATTCAGATATTCAACTGACGTATTCCTGAGACAATTTTAAGGAAAAACAGGGTGGCCCTTTGAAAACGAAACAGAGGCTCTGTAGGTCCCCAAAACCAGATTATGAGAAAAATCTGAAACAAATCAACTACATATTCGAGGGGGACATCTTTCCGAAATATTTTCAGCCCTGCGGCGTTGTCGCTTCCAACGCAAAGAAGCAACAACTTTGTTATTTCGAATGGAACACCTTGTATTTCATTGCATTTTAAGATTCTCCCTGAAGAGCTCTGTTTCGTTTTTGAAATTTGCTGGAGCGGGGGATACACCTGAAATGCAGTCTATGACCAGGTGGGGACATCTTTAATAATTTACACTGCTCGCCAACAGCCATGAAACCACCCCAATTTCTGGAAAATTATATAAGGAGTCAAAGTAGGTTGAAATCACTTGGGATTCGAAATCAGGACGCCCGATTCACTAACTATTTATATTTGACCTGGAAAGTTTTCAGTTCTGAAAAAATTATTTTTGTCTCACTTTTCAATAAAACGCCCCTGTATCTTACGTAATCGATGGGTTAGGATCCTGAAATTCGCTGGAGCAAGATATTCACCAGAAATGCACTTATTGGCCGAGTGGGGTCATCTTCAGTGATATACAATGCTCGCCAACAGCCATCCTAATAGCACACAACGTCCTAGGGACGTCCCTATTTGGTACAATTCAAGTTCGAATGTCCCGAACCAAAAATAAGTGTCCTTGGGACATCCCATCCCGTACATCTCATGCAATGTCCGAGCAAGGACGTCCACGGAATGTCCCAGCTGGTACATCATTTCAGATGTCCTAGAAATATCATCCCTTAGACGTCCCACGTGGTACATACTGTAGAATGTCCATGCAAGGACGTCCTTGGCATGTCCCTGATGGGATATGCTTTTAAACGTTCCTTTAGGGACATCCATCGGATATCGCGAGTAGTACATATTCTGGCATGACTTCAGATCTTATATACTGTCCCTTCTAGACAACCATGAAATGTCCCTGATGGTACATTCCTTCGAATATCTCTGCACAGACGCCCTTAATATTTCCAGGATCGTATAACAATCGAGAAGTCCCTTAGGGATATCCGTCGGATGTCCCAATTGGTACATGAACTGTACTCTTTCAGTGTCCTAGAAATGAAGTCCTATGGACGTCCCAGTCGGTACTTTCAATATGTTGTCCCTGCGAGGACGTTTACTTACACCCTGCCGACGAATGATTGCTCGTAGGCTATAAGTACTTCTCGTCAATGTCCTTCACGTAAGTCCATTGGACATCCGTGGGAAACTTTTTGGGGACCTTCTACGGACCATCAACTCAACTGGATGTCCTAATTAGTTATGCAAGATCTGGTCCTAGAGGGACCCAGAAAAATTCAAATTCAAGAATAATTCGTACGTCCCTGGGACATCCTATGGACATCCAATTGATATTCCTCAGCGTTGCTAATAGGTTGTCCTATGGATGTCTCAAGGATGTCCTCTGTAGTGCTAGATGAGGAATACTATGGGTTTAGGTATTCGATAGTTGTCCCAGGGACATCCCTCAAGGACGTCCCTAGTTGGTCCTCAAGTGGGACATTTGTGCGTCCCACAGACGTCCAATGGACGTCCACGTTACCAAATTCGAACATCCTATGGACGTCTTGAATGTTCCGACAGGACGTTCTAAGGATATCCATGGGACATATGTGTGCTATTAGGGCATGGATCCACATTTCCGGAAAATGATATTGAAAGACAAGATAGGTTAAAAATCACATCGGATTCTTCAGTTCTGAAATAATAAATTTTGTCTCACTTCTCATGGAAGTACCCCAGTATCTCACGTAATTATTGATGTCGGAGTCTGAAATTTTCAGATGACCAATGAGCAAGTAGATGGGGGAATCAGTTTTCTACAGTAGTCTATTCCAGATCTATATATACTATACCTACTGCAACAATTATTGAGTGAAATTTTTGAATGATCGAGTGGAACTGTTGACGTATCTCATATAATTCATATTGTCCATAGAATAACTATTCGACATTAAAAAAAGTCATTCATTCGTCTCGCAGAGCTTAGCCTATAAAAAATACCTTAGTGGGATTCGCTAATTTCGTCAGTCTCTTTCCTTCGATTCACGTATTGTTTGATCGAACTCAGAATATACAGGCTGTTTCATTACTGATTGGGAATATTTCAGCTATAAAATCCTGAGCTTGAAATAAGATTTAAACCAAATCACCTAGAGAAAATGTGTCTCCTGACTGTTCTTTTTCAATTTTTTATTTTCATTCAGAAAAAATGTGGGAAGAAAATGGATTGGACGCCCTGTTTTCGAATCCGAAATGATTTTCAACCTATCTTGCCTCTTAATATAATTTTACGGACATGTGTGTATAGTTCCACGGCTGTTGACGAGCAGTGTATATCACTGTAGACGACTATACTAAGTCAGAGAGTGCATATTTGGTATGTCTCTCACTCCAGCAAATTTCAAGATCGTAACCCAACGATAACGTGTTTCATGAAGAGTGAGACAAAAACGAAATTTTCAGAACTGAAAATTTTTCAGGTAAAAATATGAATGATTCAGAATCCGAAGTGATTCTCAACCTATTTCAACTCCTAACATCATTTTCCAGAAATTGGGGTGGTTCCATGGCTGTTGGCGAGCAGTGTATATCACTGAAGATGGCCCCATTTGGGGATAGAGTTCATTTTTAGTATATCTCTCGCTTCAGCAAATTTCAGGATCTTTACCCAACGATAACGTAAGATACAGGGGCGTTTCCATTAGAAGTGAGACACACTGTATATCCCAAAGGAAAGTAAAAATATTGTAGTTCATCGAACGGCACCTGTGCCAATCACTATCCTGAGCAAAATGATAAAAGAATTGCACTTTATTCCTATGCGGAAATTTGCACTCGATTTCGCGATTTGACCGATACCAACCCTAATAACACACTTACGTCCCATGGATATCCTTAGGACGTCCTGTCGGGACATTCAGGACGTCCATAGGACGTTCGAATTTGGTACCGTGGACTTCCATTGGACGTCTGTGAGACGCACAAATGTCCCACTTGAGGACCAACTAGGGACGTCCTTGAGGGATGTTCCTGGGACAACTATCGAATACCTAAATCCTACAGTATTCCTCATCAAGCACTACAGAGGACATCCTTAGGACATCCATAGGACAACCTATCAGCAACGCTGAGGGATATCAATTGGATTTCCATAGGATGTCCCAGGGACGTCCGAATTATTCTCGAATTTGAATTTTTCTGGGTCCCTCTAGGACCAGATCTTGCATAACTGATTAGGACATCCAGTTGAGTTGATGGTCTGTAGAAGGTCCCCAAAAAGTTTCCCAAGGATGTCTGATAGACTTACGTGAAGGACATTGACAAGGCGAGGTGTGAGTTGACGTCCTCGCAGGGACAACATAATGAAAGTACCGACTGGGACGTCCATAGGACGTTATTTCTAGGACATTGGAAGAGTACAGTTCATGTACCAATTGGGACATCCGACGGATACCCCTAAGGGACATTTTGATTGTTATACAATCCTGGAAATATTGAGGGCGTCTGTGCAGAGATATTTGAAGGAATGTACCATCAGGGACATTTCATGGTTGTCTAGAAGGGACATTATATAAGATCTGAAGTCATGTCAGAATATGTACTACTCGGGACATCCGATAGATGTCCCTAAAGGAACGTTTAAAATCATATCCCATCAGGGACATGCCAAGGACGTCCTTGCATGGACATTCTACAATATGTACCACGTGGGACGTCTAAGGGATGCTATTTTTTGGACATTTGAAATGATGTACCAGCTGGGACATTCCGTGGACGTTCTTGCTCGGAAATTGCATGAGATGTACGGGATGGGACACTCATTTTTGGTTCGGAACATTCGGACGTGAATTGTACCAAATAGGAACGTCCCTAGAACGTTGTGTGCTATTTGGGAATTGATTGGTAGATTTCAAAAATCTACCGATTCATTTGCTCCTATTATTCCGGACATACGTCATGTGATAACGAGTTTGAAACTAAGAGCAAATGAAAGAGAAAAATGTCCCTTTTTCGAATAAAAGCGATTCAAACTGACCTAAGTTAGTGGCAGGGCGTCAATATTTCCGTGAATATTTTGCCCTCGTCGAAAGTTAATATCTGATGGACCAGTGTGAAACTCGTGTGGTGCTCACACTACAAAAATTCTGATCCACATACGATATATTCTCGGAAGTATTGACACTCTGCCACTAACATTGATCAGTTCGTATCGCGGCACGTTTGTACATTCGCAAAGGTGACACAACACCTTTTAGTTGCTTCTTGTTTCATCTCGTTATCACATGACGGAAGTATGTCCGCAATAAAAGCAGCAAATAAATCGTTGATTTGGCTCAGACTGAGGAATGGCACAGATAGTTTTTTGGAATCTACCATTCAATTGGATGGCATAATTCTTATCTCGTTATCAAACTGCGAAACCGAGTGCAAATTTCCGCACAGAAAAGTGTAATTTTTCATTCATCTTGCTCAGGATAGTGATTGGCACACCGTATTTTAATGTAGATATTGGGCCTAATTTCTGAAAACAGGTAACTAAATCCTTCAAGTTGGGAAAGTAGGATATATAAAAGTTACGCATGCCAACGTCGGTTTAGTTCATTGTACCAGTATATCACCTGACGAAGCTACTGTGTTAGAGAAACATGTTGTGTGTTCAAGAATTTTGTGGGAATCTTATCGTTCGTGTAGTTTTTACATTTGCCATGGATTTCCATCAAGTAACAACCGAGTCGATACAAAAAAAAATCATGAAAGTATTCGATGTTGAATTTAGTGCAAAAATGTGCTTGCCGTAGTACGATGGCGCTGAAGGGCCACCTTTACTTTATTTTTGAATCCCGACTTTAAAGTCGGGGGTCCGAGATTAAAGTCGGGGGTCCGAGATTAAAGTCGGGGGTCCGACTTTAAAGTCGGGGGTCCGAGATTAAAGTCGGGGGTCCGACTTTGAAGTCGGGGGTCCGAGATTAAAGTCGGGGGTCCGACTTTAAAGTCGGGGGTCCGAGATTAAAGTCGGGGGTCCGTGATTGAAGTCGGGAGTCCGAAACTGAAGTTAGGAGCTAGATTATATTCGTTAAATATGTGGACAGAAATAAATAATTTCCATTGTTACTCATCAGTTTGACGTCAGCAACATGCTCCTGAATTTTCTACATGTACTCGAGAAACACCCTGTACATTTATGTACAAACAATAATTTTACATCCATTGGATAATCATCACATAAGGATCAGTCAAAATCCTCCTTTTTGGATGTACACTGAATGTCAAATAATGGATCACACCTGTACGATCATTATCTTACGTATAGGCCGTATAGGGTGATTGTTTTAGCTAAGAATCTCATTTGTTTGTTCAAAGGGTGCAAAAAGATTACACAATACAAAACATATATTTTCACAAATGAACTACCCTGAATGTCATTCCGTCCTTGGGTAGAGCTCAGAAAGATGAGTTCAATGATATATGATTACATTTGTAGGTATGAGTTAACCCTTCCGGACTATTTTCATAATCTTCTTCAATAAATAGCCAAATTTCAAAGCCTTATGAAAACGTTGAGAATCAAATTTTCAATGCGCAGTTTTCATTATGAATTAACTAATTATATAATATGTTTTATTGATATTTTGTCAATATTAAGGATATTCGAATTGAACAAAAGTGATGACGTATTTTGCAAACCGATCATTTTCTCGGAATTTTCGAATGTATTCAATTTCATTCTTGGATAGAGCTGAGAAAGACGAATTCAATGATATATGATAGAATGGGTCTGAGAACACCCGTTTCGGACCCCCTACTTTAATCTCGGACCCCCGACTTTAAAGTCGGGATTCAAAAAAAAAGTATAGGTGGCCCTTCAGCGCCTTCGTACTGCAGTTCAATGGGCTTATATCACAAAATAATTGTATTTCATAATTCGATAGAACTCACCCAAACTAGCTCACCACCGCAAACCGTTTCTTGCTGTAAGCGCCCTAACGTTTTATGAAAAATTATTGAAATAACCGATTTTTCGGACCTCTGCAAACGAGGCGATGATGTGACGTCAAAACCCTAATACTGAAACAAGACTATTCCAGACAGAGATGAATGATACATGATTTCTGACAGGGTGAATTAGCGCGAGATCACAGTTGAAAGAATTAATATAACAGTTGCCTCAGTCTCCGTCGGGCGTTTGGTATTTTCTTTTAACAATGGCGGGATGAGGTTTCTACGTCATAAGAGGGTCCGTTTTCAGAAGGTACTATTATTTATGTCCAAAAATAAAACATTCCAGTTAATTTTTCGATCGAGTTATGTCGTCAATCATTATTTATGTATAAAATAATCATTGCAGGAGTAGTATCAACTAACCTGACAAGTACTTCGTTTGTCTTCGGAACTTCCAGCACAAATCAATAAATCGTCGACAAAGCCGTTTGGCAGCCTAGCATTAGGACCGACGATTGCTCTACGATATGTTTTATTACATTTGGCACTGTCGAAAATCTCCAGTTTGATTTTCTTCAGGTCTTCACTAAGTTCCCCAGTGAAATTCGTATTTCCCCATCCGGTGGCTATTCCGTTCCTGAAAGGGATGTTCCTAATCGTATGGAGACAAGCAGGACGCACATAGGAGTTCATGTCGAAAGAGCTGTTCACTTTCAAGAGGGCGATGTTATGGTAAAAAGTGTCAGAATTGAAATCTGGGTGTATGATGGTTTCCTCAATATATCGGATTTGGAGGTGGTTTTTGTCATTCACGTTGGTAATTCCAGCTCTAACGAACTTGGCAGCATCGCTGAAATTATTATGATTATGGTTACATTATTAAGATGAGGATATTTTTTCACATCATAGTTGGCCTTGACAAACTCCACATTTGGTGTCATTTAACCGACCTCGTATCTCTCACCGTTAAAAAGATACCCATGGTGAGCATGGTAAGTGGGACACACTGTATATTATAATGGGGCAATTGTGATAGTAGGTTTGAATATCGCTATTTGATGAAATAATAATAATAAACGCTTCAAATATTAGAAACAAGAATAAATGTACAAAATAGTGAAGAAAGCTAATGGATTCCTACCAAAGGGCATGGTTAGCTTTAGTCTGATCCCTAATAGACTGAGAGCTGGCTACATGAGTTTTAACGTGACTCGGTACAGTCACAATTTTCTTCTGGGATGGTTCCATTTATGATGTGGAACACTAAGGCGCGAGTCTGCCTGGTCGGTCTGGGGGACTTATGTGGGGGCGAGCGGGGAAAGTTGCAGAGTTTCGAAGGTAATCGACGTCATTAGTACAATCATGAAATTTCGTGTACATATAGTATGTGACGTCAGAAAGATAGTTTGATAATTGGCAGACCGTTTTCCGGTTGCTAAAGTGCTGGTAGACCGCGCCAAAGTTGAGAAAAAAATCAAAAAATCAACGTGATGAGATAAAGTCATGAAATTAGGTGTACGTATTGATCATATATCAACTTGTTTTTATACTGAATGGCAGACCAAAAAGTGGAGGACAACACCATGGCAGACAACGATAAACCTACAGGGTGAAAAAAATGCAATGACCAAAACTCGAGAAATTGATAGAACTCGATGAAATAATAGTATATCATCCTATAAACATATGCTCTGAAACGGTTCGTTATTGAGATATTCGGCGTTGAAATATACATATATATATATATATATATATACATTTTAATTCTTAATATTTCGATTTTGTTGATATGTATGTATCACTGATATTGTGTATAGGTACACTAAGAACATTGGCATGTATGAATAGATTGTCGTTAATCATCGATCGACATACAGGGTGGAACCTATGATGAAATAACGAACAAATATACCTAAGTAATCAGTTCAAAAAATTATAAGCACCTTTTCGTATTTCCCTGCACAAATAATATAAAGCAAGTGTGAAAATCTTATATATAGTTCTACTTACATTCCAGATTACTGATTGTGCTTCAACATCAACTTCCATGAAGTAGTCGTAAAATGATTTCCCTATGTGGCAGAGTTTCCAAACTTTACTGCACATATAATGATTGTCGTTTTCACATATAATGAGAGAACACTTGAGCTACAAGGTGAAGTTATTGAGAGTACATTAAACGAAATAAAAAAAAAAGTAATGCATGCTTCCTAAGGCATATACATCATTTTTAGATCTTCTTCGGGAGATTATATATTTTGTGGTTAGCTATAACAATTGAAAAACAGATTGAAAACAATATTCATCATTCAAAAAATTTTGTTGGATATGGTACCTTCAGTTTCTTCAGCCCATAACACGACATCTCTACAAAAGCAGAAAAGAAACCTGCAAGAATATCAAATTGAATTTCATCAAATAGTTTGCAAACCAAATAGAATAACGCAAGTATTCTCAAATTTGACGAAAGTTATATGCTGATATGGGAGAATTGAGAAATGAAAAATTTCAATCGATTCTCTCAACGACGGCACTTAAAATATGTTCCTCCCTGTATGTCGATCGATGTTAAAAGACAATCTATTCATACATACAGATGTTCTTCGTGTACCTACACAATATCAGTGATATATAAAAACAAAATCGAATTGAAAGATTTAAAAAAATATACAGGGTGTCCCACTAAGGTCGGCGAGGTACGATATTACGGAAGCCATTAACTTTACAGCTTCGGGAAAAAAATCTATTGATGAAATTGGCAAAGAGAAATTGATTTATTATTATTATATAAATGAAGATATCGAATCGCGGTTTGCGCTAAAATGTAGCTATTTTGATGCTCTTCTAAACAAATGATGTGAACATGTATTATTCCATTTGAATTTTTCGAGAAAAATCGAAAAAAAAGTAATAGTTAGTAAACTCTATAAGACGCGATGTGAACTAGCGACCATAAACAAAGTCACTTTTGAAATAAGAGTGGAATTATCTTTCAAACGAGCCCAAGTTGATTGAATTTGGATGAAGGGTATGGAAGATACAGCAATTCAAAAAATATTTTGTTCACAAGCTGCCCCCACCATTATTATTCAAGATACGAAAAAAAGTCCATATACCAACCTGACCCAAAATTAATGATCTTTTCATTTCTGTTATCAAAAAAGTACCTCACCGAGCGATTTCCTGAGATAATTTGAATTTCTTGTTTTATCATGTTAACTTCGCCCCCTACCGGTCATTTGAGAAACTTGAAAATATTTCAAATCAATTTCTCTTTGACAATTTCATCAATAGATTTTTTTTCCCGAGGCTGTAAAGTTAATGGCTTCCGTAATATCGTACCTCGCCGACCTTAGTGGGACACCCTGTATACATGTATATTTCAACGCCCAATATCACAATAACGAACCGTTTTAGAGCAAATGTTTATGGGAAGATATACTATTATTTCATCGAGTTCTATCAAATTCTCGAGTTTTGGTCATTACAATTTTTCCACCCTGTAGGTTTATCGCTGTCTGCCATGGTGTTGTCCTCCACTTCTTGGTCTGCTATTCAGCATAAAAACAAGTTGATATATGATCAATACGTACACCTAATTTCAAGACTTTATCTCATCACGTTGATTTTTTTTTCGCTAATTTGACGCGGTCTGCCATTACTTTAGACCCCGGAAAACGGGCTGCCAATTATCAAACTATCTTTATGACGTCACACACTATATGTAGGTACACGAAATTTCATGACTGTACTGATGATGTCGATTACCTTTGAAACTCTGCAACTTTCCCCGCTCGCCCCCACATTAGTCCCACAGACCGACCAGGCAGACTCCACATCATAAATGGAACCATTCCAGAGGAAAATTGTGACTGTAACGAGTCACGTTGAAACTCATGTAGCCAGCTCTTAGACTATAACGACAAGTGCTTCCATTCAATGACAAAACAACATTTTTCACAGGTGATAGTAAGTAAGTAAGTAAGTAAGTAAGTAAGTAAGTAAGTAAGTAAGTAAGTAAGTAAGTAAGTAAGTAAGTAAGTAAGTAAGTAAGTAAGTAAGTAAGTAAGTAAGTAAGTAAGTAAGTAAGTAAGTAAGTAAGTAAGTAAGTAAGTAAGTAAGTAAGTAAGTAAGTAAGTAAGTAAGTAAGTAAGTAAGTAAGTAAGTAAGTAAGTAAGTAAGTAAGTAAGTAAGTAAGTAAGTAAGTAAGTAAGTAAGTAAGTAAGTAAGTAAGTAAGTAAGTAAGTAAGTAAGTAAGTAAGTAAGTAAGTAAGTAAGTAAGTAAGTAAGTAAGTAAGTAAGTAAGTAAGTAAGTAAGTAAGTAAGTAAGTAAGTAAGTAAGTAAGTAAGTAAGTAAGTAAGTAAGTAAGTAAGTAAGTAAGTAAGTAAGTAAGTAAGTAAGTAAGTAAGTAAGTAAGTAAGTAAGTAAGTAAGTAAGTAAGTAAGTAAGTAAGTAAGTAAGTAAGTAAGTAAGTAAGTAAGTAAGTAAGTAAGTAAGTAAGTAAGTAAGTAAGTAAGTAAGTAAGTAAGTAAGTAAGTAAGTAAGTAAGTAAGTAAGTAAGTAAGTAAGTAAGTAAGTAAGTAAGTAAGTAAGTAAGTAAGTAAGTAAGTAAGTAAGTAAGTAAGTAAGTAAGTAAGTAAGTAAGTAAGTAAGTAAGTAAGTAAGTAAGTAAGTAAGTAAGTAAGTAAGTAAGTAAGTAAGTAAGTAAGTAAGTAAGTAAGTAAGTAAGTAAGTAAGTAAGTAAGTAAGTAAGTAAGTAAGTAAGTAAGTAAGTAAGTAAGTAAGTAAGTAAGTAAGTAAGTAAGTAAGTAAGTAAGTAAGTAAGTAAGTAAGTAAGTAAGTAAGTAAGTAAGTAAGTAAGTAAGTAAGTAAGTAAGTAAGTAAGTAAGTAAGTAAGTAAGTAAGTAAGTAAGTAAGTAAGTAAGTAAGTAAGTAAGTAAGTAAGTAAGTAAGTAAGTAAGTAAGTAAGTAAGTAAGTAAGTAAGTAAGTAAGTAAGTAAGTAAGTAAGTAAGTAAGTAAGTAAGTAAGTAAGTAAGTAAGTAAGTAAGTAAGTAAGTAAGTAAGTAAGTAAGTAAGTAAGTAAGTAAGTAAGTAAGTAAGTAAGTAAGTAAGTAAGTAAGTAAGTAAGTAAGTAAGTAAGTAAGTAAGTAAGTAAGTAAGTAAGTAAGTAAGTAAGTAAGTAAGTAAGTAAGTAAGTAAGTAAGTAAGTAAGTAAGTAAGTAAGTAAGTAAGTAAGTAAGTAAGTAAGTAAGTAAGTAAGTAAGTAAGTAAGTAAGTAAGTAAGTAAGTAAGTAAGTAAGGTAAGTAAGTAAGTAAGTAAGTAAGTAAGTAAGTAAGTAAGTAAGTAAGTAAAGTAAGTAAGTAAGTAAGTAAGTAAAGTAAGTCCGTAAGTAAGTAAGTAAGTAAGTAAGTAAGTCAGTAAGTAAGTAAGTAAGTAAGTAAGTAAGTAAAGTAAGTAAGTCAAGTACTACGTACAGTAAGTAAGTACGTAACGTAAGTAAAGTAAGTAAGTCGTAAGTAAGTAATAGTACGTAAGTAAGTACGAAAGTGACCGTGTCGAGCTGAGTGACGATGTGTCGAGTCGAGCTGAGTGAGCTGATGGTGCTGGTGCGAGCGAGTCGTGAGAGCTGAGTCGAGAGTGCGAGCTGAGCTGCGAGTGAGCTGAGCTGAGCTGAGTGCTGATCGTGTCTGAGAGAGCGTGAGTCGAGCTGAGCTGAGTGCGGTGATCGTGAGTCGAGTGAGTGCGAGCTAGTGCTGAGTCGAGTGAGTGCTATCGAGCGTGAGTGAGTCGAGTCGAGCTGATGAGCTGAGTGATGCTGATCGTGATCGAGTGAGTGCGTGAGTGCGT